CTCCCACAGACCTACAGTTGCCTTCCCCATCAGGAGAAAACATTTTTACCTTCTCTTGCTAATGAAGACAATCTCATCCTTACACTCGGGCAACAGTCTTCTCAATTACATCTGAAAGCCTCAGATGCTCCACCTCCTGTGTACGGCAGAGACTCCAGCTCTACCACTGCATTGCAATTTCACACACTGACGATTTGTTTCTTAGTCAGCAGTGACAGGACACGAGTGAGGTGTACAGGCGTCGTGACATGACAGAAGCTTCGCATCAGCTTGCCGCCTCCCCCCCACCCCCAGTCCTCACTTTGGGAAAGTTTTGATCATGTTTATCTTTCTGAGTACCAGCAGCCTAGGCAAGGAACTTAACCTGGAGAAAGACTTAAATTCAGGTTTGCACATAAACAAACATTTGAGATCTGTAAAAGGAAACTAATTTTATATTTTTTTTTAAAACCAAGCTCAGTGTCAAGTTTGACATGCTTAAGGAAGATAAGTGTGTAGGGTGATGAGAACAAGAGACATCAGGAAGAGGGTGAAAGGAAGCATCCCCATTTAGTATGCAAGGGCACACATGCACAGCCTGGGAAACAATCTGGAGGGATGAGTACTCCTGTGGGGTCACAGGGCTGTGGTGTTGCCACAGGACTGGAGAGCTGTTGGGTCGGCCTGCATGGGTGGCTACCAGCTCTACAGGTAAGACAGGCAATGAAGAAGAGGAAGGGAGATGCCCTCTGTGTGAAGAAGCAGCTCAGAGGTGCAGAGAATTTCCACGGGACGGGTGATGGGCTGGGTGCAGGCTCATGGGTCAGAATCAGGACAGACTGGCGAGGGTGGCATCACAGGGGGAGCGTGCCACCTCACCTGATCAGGGTGAGGGCAAACACAAAGACTTCTTTGAACAGCTCAAGCCTCTGTATCACAGACCCTTGTTCTTTGGGACACTTTAACCTCCTTTCACCTGCTGGAAGGGCAAAACAGCAGAACACAAGTGTTGAAGATTTCTGGAGGTATCAGGGAGAATATCTTGATACAGGCACTGGGTGGGCCAAGCAGGGGGATGCTCTCCAGCATCTGCTATCCACCAACAAGGAAGAGCTAGCTGGGGATGCGATAGTGGCAGCCATGGCTGTAGTGCCATGCAATAGTGGGGTCCAAAATCCTGTGGGGGAAGAGGAAGGAGCACAGCGCAGACCCTGGACTCCCGATGAGCAGACTGCTGCTTGTTCAGGGAACTGGTAGGTGGGATCCCATGGGGCAGCTCTGAAAGATGCTCAGGAGAGCTGGCAAGCCTTTAAGGACAGCATCCTCCAACCACAGGTGAGGCCAACTTCAGCATTCTGGAAGACAGGTGGGTGTATCAGGAAATGGCCTGGCCAAACAGGAGACTCATGGCAGAGCTCCAGTGCAGAAAGGCAGCATGCAGGCAGTGGAAGAAAGGACAGGCTAAAAAAGAAGAGAGCAATTATGGGAACAAGACTATTTATTGGAAGTATTACTTCTCTTTTCTCCAGGGAAGAGAGTATTTATAAGAATCTAGAAAGAAACACAAAGTTGTCACATACCAGTCTATCTTCAGGCAGAATTATCTGAAAAGTTATTTCCTGAGGGAAATCAAGTTCTCTCTAAATGTCTTAAGTCATAGATGGCATATGGAAGCTTTTCTAATAGTTTTTGGCCTGAGACACTGGGGTGGCAAACCCAGAATGCTTTCAATAAAATAAAATTAAAAAAACAACAACCAAACAAAACCAACAAACTATCAATATTTGCAAATTAGCTCTTTGAGAAAGGTTTTATAGTCAGCAGCCAATTTTCATTGAGAGACCTTCTGTGATGGTGTCTTTTCAATTTCCCATGACTTTCAAACTAATCAAACCTGCTTTGCTCCTTTATGAACCTAACAGTTAAAGGAGCAAAAGCCTAAGCAGAAGGATAAAACAGCACAGCTACATCTTACCAATGAAGTTGAAAACAAAAAAAAATCCACATCTTGAACGTATGGGACGACAACTGATTTCTAGGAAAGAACTTGCCCGAGGCATGGGGCTATACACAAAAGGGGGGCAATTCTCAACAAGGGACAATTCACTATAATCATGGAAGATAACGATGAAAGGCTTGGTCTTGTCACTCACTTCATCACCTGTCTTCCCTTCTTTTCCCAGGCACTGATTAGTCCAAGTGTCCCTGCGGTCTGTAATAAAGCCAGACCTAGCACGGCTCCCGTAGGGTGTATAATGCAGCTGGTTTTTCCTGAGATTCAGAGGCATATGGGCATCTAATTGTCACCTGTGTCTTTGGCAACCTCCCAACAGATGTTCATCAGTTTGGAAATAGCCATCTTAAGGTCTGAAATTTGTCATTGTGCAGTACTGTACCTGGGGAAATCCTGCACACAGGGAGGTGGAATACACCAAGGTGCCTGAAAATGCTGCTTTGGTCTGTTGTTCTGATTTAATCTGACCCATTCAAAATGTCCCTCTTGCTCTGATGAAGGCACAGGCTATATTCAGCCAGGAACTGGCAAAGACAGGAGAGCACAGGCAGGCTGAAGGATGGCAAGTATCAGGCTAGAGGGGGAGAAAGGAACGAAGATTAGCACAAGCCCTGGTTTATGTATTAGGCAACTGGGAACGCTAAAACAGCTTCCTTTATCAAGCTCTAAGGTTTGAGAGTCTCAAGATTAAAAGCCCTATATTGATACCCCAGGTAGCTGAATAGGAACAAACACCACCCCTCGTCAGCCTCTGAACACAGCAGCTGATCCTTATAACTATTTTGCACTGGCATTACTGTAGCTGGAGAAAGAAGCCCCATGAAACGAGTTGAGACTGGAGCTCTGGTGGTGTGGTACAAGTGGCTTTCTGTTTCTATCATCACAACCCAGGTAGGAATAGAGCCGATGACTCTGGGTGTTTTATCTGCAGCACATGAGTATCCTGATCAAGCCAAATTTCTTCTTTGCTTCTGAACCAGCAGAGATGTTCTGATGAAATCTGATAATGGGAACACTGACCATAGGAATCTGTCCTTAGTACAGCTGGCTTCACATAAACCTGGTGACAGGCAAAAGCATGAAAGGACAAAGCCAAGGACAAAATGTAATTCTGAGAGAGGAAAGCTAGCTAAAGTTCCTAAAACAGACCTAGAGCTCAAAAAAGGCTAGTGGGGTTTGTTCTGTTCCTAGCGTTTCCATATCTCATGTTAAAAATATTCATTAGATTTTACTGAAGCAGAGACAAATGTCAAAAACACTAAATAGTGAGACTGAAAAATTGAAAGTCTTAAAGAAGACGCTGATTTTGAGTCCTGTGAAACACAAATTCATCTCTCCTATTCTTTGCCCCCCAGTCACTGAATTCCTGTGTTGCACTGGGAATGAGCTGGCAATCACACTGGTAAAACACATCCTCTTCTGCATCCCAGATGATGTGATGTGTCAGCTGACGGCCCAGCCTCCATCACAGCCTAGAGAGATGTACAATCTCTCACCCCTCTTGGCTGGGCAGCCGAGTCCTTCCCACTCCCCTTCAGGGAAAATCATTGAGTCAGCTCAGACCACCAGCAGAAAGGGAAGTCTCTCCTCAGCCCCTCCAGGCGTTCAGTTCCACACCTCTAACAGTGGGGAGACTACGCTACACATTGTCTGTTTAGACAGCAAAGCCCTGGAGGAAGGACTTGCCCTCTTCCACCATAAGCCAGTGACCACAAGCTGCTGGTACAACCCCTGTACAAGACCCACAGGGCATCTGCCTCACCCAGGGCTCTGTGAAAGCCAGGAGGACAACCAGAAAGCAGAGCCCCGGTAGTCCCTGGGGCTCTGCATTTCAAACCGTGCAACACAGTTTGAACAAAGCAAGCAAACCGTTAAGCGAACTGCAAAGCATTTATCGGGGTATCATCTTTGAAAATTTAAGACAGGAAGGAAGTAGAGGTTGCTCCTCAGAAAGGCTCCAGCCACCTAAGACCCCAACTCACTGTGGTCTGTACCCATTCTCAGGCAGCAGCGAGTCACTCACAGAAGTATTTCAAGTGCAACTGGGGGTGGGATGCAGTCAGAACAAGCCAAAGGTGCAAAGCAGTGCAAAGAGTGAATCTACTTCTCTCTCTCTTCCTTTAATTTTAAAGTCTAGGGATGATAAAGATTTTAACAAAGATTATGTTCTCCTTAAACTCAATTAATGTTTGCAGATTTTTGGGTGAGGTGGCAGCTTTACCAATCAGACAAGCTTGTCCACAGAAGAATGAAACATGTAGCAGAAAATGCCAGAGATCTGGTGAATTCTTAAGTATTTACTTCATGTCCTTTCTTTGTTAGATTGTACGGAAATTATTCCCCCAAATGTTTTTACCCATCTGTTGGAAACACACACACACACATTTGTACTTAAATACTGCATTTAATAAGATGTAAACCTTCACAACCACCAGAATCCAGTCACAAAATGCAAAGATATCTTAATTCCAGGGACAGAATTGGAGTCCTTGAGGCTTCACGCACTACATGGTGTTGCACACAGGCTTCAGCATACAGCAGTAGCTCATTACTTCTCATTTCAACAATGTGAACTTCAGGCTATTTTTAAAGAAGCTGGCAGCATTTCCACTTCCCAATGAAGACTCTGGAGTACACTTTTCTGAAGTCAGCAAAGTGTTCCTGATTTTTCCAAAAGCGATAGCAATTCATCATAAACCAAGTTCAAGCACCACTTGTCAAACTGAGTACTCAGCCTGTTGTAGCCAGAAAGACACCAGATTTCGACTTAAGGGGTTAGATATTACTCTCCCATCACAATCAGAAGAGCAAATCAACCATTTAATCTTTCTCTGCTTTTTGGTGATACTTGCTCAGATTGCTGATTCTTCAGGGAGGAAGCTGCCTCCGAGTACATGCCCTTGCAACCTGAAGTACAAGCAGTCATTCCTGTAACACATATAAAAGCAAAAACCTGGGGGCTGTTGTTTGGTTTTTGTTTATTTGGGTTTGTTTGGGGTTTTTTTTGCAAGCTTCCTTACTTAGACTCTGATCTGCTGCTCAGCTCATTGTGGCAGACCCATCCAAGTATATACCCACAAAACAGGACTTTTAATTAATAGTTTATACAGAACATTAATCTGCCCTATCTCATCAGGCATCAGGACAAGAAATGCTTTCGTATACTCAGTTGTTGGTTAACATAATCAGTGTATTTGCCTAAAGGTACACTTCTTGCTTTAAAACCCAGATAGACTTACTTGGAATGAAGGAACAAGGAAACAAATTTATCTTTTACCCTGTCACCTTAAACTTTATTAATGCAACAACTGTCAGAAGAGAGACTGGAAGGTCTGAAGTTTGAAGATTACATCTGGAAAGCAAACACTCCTTTCTGCCACTATTAAGAAAGCAAAAGATTCCAGTGTATCCAACCACAACTGAGCTCAGCAACCACTTGAATAGGAAGCAAAGAGGAAAAAAAAAAAAAAGAAAAGAAGGAATTCCCTTGGTTTCTATGCTGTACTACTGTACGGTTTATAAAGGTAGACACCAGAGTGGAATATTCCTACAAAATGGAGCCTGAGGAAGCTGAACTGTTGGAAGGAGCTTTCAGAATCAAAGAGCCTTGAGCAGAAGTTTTTAGAAAACTGAAAGGAGCCTTCAAATGACACTTTCAGAGGCTCAGCTGCTTGCAACTAATGACAGGAGAGGGAATGCAGTGGAGAATACGGTGTTTTGAACCTGATGGAAAACACAAAGGGCACAGTGAAAAGGAAGACTGAAATTCAGAGAGAGGGAATTGGCACATGGTGACAGATGTAATGAGAAAGATCTGATACAAACGGTTCATGTGAAATAGTAGAAAGAAAAAGGAACAGACAGATGCATAAAACCCACACTTCACTGCTGCAGTCAGGCTGAACTCCATACTGAAGAGATCAACAACAGTGAAGAATAGTCTCACCTTCTATTCCAAAAGTGGTATTTTCCCTAAGCCTAGCCAGCAAAGCAAATAACGTCAGGTTAATCACTAATGCAGTTCCAGGTCATTTGGCAGACTTGCACTTGCCAATATTAAGCGAAGACTAGATTCAAACTTAGGGTGTGCTCCTGAGAGGTCAGGCTAGTTTCCCTGCTCTCTCAAGGATAATCAGTAACAAAAGTATTTTGCAGGGTAATTTTGTCTTCTGAATAACACAACCCTTAGAAATGCACCTTAAGGAAGTTACTAAAGCATCGTGCAAAGGCAGCAGTGATACAACGCAGTTCAGAACACCATTGGCTCTGTAAGATCCAAGAAAGAAAAATATAGTGTGATTGACAGCTGCTACAAAATAAAAGCTACAGGGTGAACCTTACCTAGGGAGAAGTGAGAGTCAACAACTGTGCAAGCCCCATGCTTTTATTAAGGCCCTTCTTGCTATTTCTAGAAAAGTACTAATTCATGGAAAGAAAAAAAAGAAAACAAACCACTAGTGGCAGGAGACTGGCACAGACTCTTTGGCTTACAGTTGCCATCAGATGGGACACAGATGGAAGAGAGAAAAGAGGATGTATATTTAATGCCCCAAATTCTTAGTTTCTAATACTGACAGTAGAGCAATCTCAAGCTGCCTAGACATCACAGTACTTAAACACAACTTTGAAATCTTCATGCACTTCTCCCTACTTCTTCCTCTGTTCCAACACTGCTCAGTAAGGTTTTACTGGAGGAAAATCCAAGGGCAAAAAAGGGTACAGGAGACCTGGCAGTTCCCAAATAAATGATAGCAAGATAAGCTCAAGTTATGCCCATGGAAAGGAAGGACAGCGGGTAAAAAGGGACCAACCTGACCAACAAAGAGCTCTTCAATGATCTCAGAAAAGCATATAAGTAATGGAAACTAGGACAGATTATTTAAGAATTATTAAGTAGAAGCAACAAAAGAACACAGGGAACATATCAGAACAAAAAGAGAAAAAACAAAATAAGCAGTAGTTGACAAGAGTAAGAAGAGACTGCACTGTAAGTGCACCTGCATTAAAAGAAAAAATACAAGGGAAGCGTTAGTTATGCAAGATGGAAGAAAAACAACTGACAGCTGATGACACTAGAAATGAACTGTTCGATGGCTGGTTTTGCTTCAGTATTCCCTAGCGATGGCAACTACAAGCAACTGTATTCACATCACTGACAAAGAAAGATCTCTGCTTAGTAAAAGAAAAGAATGGGTTAGAATATAAGTTTCCTGAAGTTCAGTGTTCACAGGTTCTCTGGGCCCCAAAGACTTCTCTGTAAGATATGTTAAAAATAGATATGTTATTCTTATATTAGTATATGTTACAAAAGTTGCCTCAAAAACACTAGTAGTATTGGTAGTAGTCATATTTGAGAACTGGCAAGCTGAAATGCCCATTTTTAAACAAAGACAGGGAAGAAGAAAAGCAGCAAAAAAACTTCTTGACCATGAATTTTTAATTCTAAAAAATATTTTGGAACAAGTACCCAAACTATAATCATTTATGCTTTCCACAGTAACAAGTCAGCCAAGAACAATTTATGTTAAAATCCTTTCTTCCACAGTAGTGTAATGAAAAAGCAGTAGATGAACTATCATTATCCTGACATCTGACTATCACAGGACTTGCTTATAAGCAAGACAAACACAGCTCAGATGTAACTATTACTGTATGAATGCAGAGCTAACTAGAATTATCAAAAAGAAAAAAATAAAAATCACAGTCTAATGTCAAAACAGAAAGCTGTAAGGATGTTCTGCAGAGTAGGTCCTAGGATCAGTTCCATCGATATTCTAACAACCTAGATGATGAAATCAATAGACAATACGGAGTTTGACTGTCTTCCAGATATACTGGAGGAAAATATTCAAGTTAAAATGTGATCTTGGCAAGTTAAAAAGTTCTCTAGAAAAATACAACATTTAATACTGATAAGTAAAGGAATCATTCAAAACTCAAGTCTGAATCAGTCACTGCAGCAAACATGACCTCAGATTTTTGGCACCTTGAATGCCATAACATAGCAAAGGCCTATAAAGTATTCCACGCTATTTAATTGCCTCACATTATTTACCTTAGACTTTTTTCCCCTTTACACAATTGGGATACAACCATTGAGGGTGCTGGATTTAAAAAAACCCAAGAAAACCACCACCAAACAAAAAACAATCCCCTTTCTCTCCCCAAAAAGAATTCTTGACTTACTTCAGATCTATGAATCTTCTCCATGTTTCATTCAACTCTTCAATTCAGAGATTTGGTAATCTTTAACAATTTACAAGGGAAAAACACTGCCATCTCCTGGAGCAAGTAAAGCTAGCAGTTCTGACTGCCTGCTTTCTGCCCTCCATCTTGCATTGTTTTCTGTACACTGAAAAGTAACCTCAGGGACCTAGCAAGTCCTCATCAGATGTTGCATTTAGAAATACAAGCAAAAGGCTACAGCAGCATACCACTTTCAAGATAAATCTTGGTGGCCTAAGCTGAGTAGCAACGTGAATCAGGTCCACCCATCTAACCCACAAAATTCTACATGCTTGAACAGCTTCCTTTCAATCAGCCGTCCTTACCACATGCAAATCCTGAACAGAAGTCTCCGTAAAAGCAGGAATGGGACCAGAAAAAAAATATAGCAGCTTGTTCTCATTAAAAGCTTGGCAGACTGGATGAAGTGGAGTTGTATGTGCCTCCTGGCCTACAGCTTTCAAATCTTTCTGCTATCATCTTGCTTTTTACTATCAAGGATCCATATTACAACCACCTGTTTTCATCCAACAGCCTTCAAGGAGCAGCTTCTGAGAATGTACCAAACACTCTGTTAGTATAACCTAGTCAGGCATACACCTCTGCTCTACACTGAACATCTCATAACCGTCCATAAGAAGGTACGCTGTATCTACAAAGATGTATAAAATTACTTTGGTAATTACTACACTGTCCCTCCCCCCAGCTTCTACTAGTTACAGCAGCATCGTTGATAACATTATCAGAAGTGCTTTACAACACAGAGAAGAAAAAGCCAGTTATCAAGGAACTTGGGACACACCTAGTAATAACAGCGAGCAGTGTTACATAAAGGCTCTTCCATTTTCCCAGTAACACTGGCTATCCTCCCAGCACTCAGTTCCAGGGTTAATTGGATGGATCTAGTGCTCCATTCATGTAAGTTGCTACCCAGACCAAGGATGTAGCTCAGTAACATTTTTTTAAAATGGATTATATCTAAACTAGGACATTACACAGCTGCAAATGTTTTCAAATTAGTTTTCTAATACTGACTACACAGAAACAACATTCATACCTTTTCCTATTAATCCATCTTGGAAGTTTGAAGTCTTTTTGAATGCTAGAGCTGTTTAATCGTTCCTCTGAATAAGAGCACAACCACCAAAACAAAAGCATTAATGTCAGAAGCATCAGTAAAGCACAAGGGCTGAATCAGGATGAAAACAAACTGACAGAATATTAGTATCGGCAAGATTAAAGGGGTAGTGGTCAAGCCTAGAGACACAGGCAAATATTTAGACTCCACTATTTGGATACTACAGCTAAATCTTACAGTATGCTTGATCAGTGCTGTTACTTCCTTCTTCTGGTCATGTGAACAGTACAAATAGTTTATTATGTCTAACGCTATTTCTTATCTCATCCAAGAATTTCAGGTGATTTCATGCCTTTGTCTTCCTCATACTAGAAAGGTATTCTGCTTAGCTTCCTAAGGCTTCTTAATGGCTTTACCTGCTTAGGAACAACTGACTCATAAGATAAATTCCATGAGATTATTTTAAAAGTCGACAAAGACAACAAAAAGTGTTTTCCACCTATACTTTTAGTTTAATTTTACAGTATTTGGCTTCCTTCTATTCTACAATTACATTTGAGGTTCACAGGAATATCTCGGCTGTCAACGCTAAAACTCAGCTTTTGGGTAAACTCAAGTAAAAGCATTCTGGAGTATTTTGGCCATCATACCTCAGGTTCGCTTTTCACATTACATGTTCTGACGTGGTGTATCGCTAGAGAAGAATGATTTAGGCACCTTAATAAAAAAAATTTCCTTAAAAATTCAGTATCTTCAATTCAACATTCAGTTTATTTTCTAAAATAAAAACATGCACATTTGTAATATACACTATTGATTCTTACCAAAGACTTGTTTATAAATACTTCCTTTTAATAAAGATCTTTATCTACAGTCCAAATCCTGAATGCCAATCTGCCCAAATGTTTTTTAGGCAAACAGATTCCACTGAAGACAGTGTAGCTCTGTATTGTTTCAGGTGCTGGAAAGCAAAGGTACCTGCAGAACTAGATAATTATCTCTTCAGGCACTTGCCATTTGGCTAAACCAAGTTTAAGAGTTTCATTACTTATACAAAAGCAACAAAATCCCAGTCTTTATAGGCTTCTTCAGCTCATTTCCACATGAAAGAAGTGCAGAAACAGAAATTTACACATCAGTGATCTCACTAAGAGAAAATGCCGTATTTCTTCTCCAGTTCTTCAACAGAAGTATCTTTCAGTCCCATGTGGTTCACATGATTGAACAATACCTGTGTAACTGTAAAGGAAAATCCCAACATAAACTGTTATTTCTGAGATTCACACTCTTAAGGTAAATTAGTCCAACTCTTCCTCAGTGAGAGTAAGGGTTGGACTATATAGCTGAAATACGCATAAATTTTTAGAACTACTAAAAGGATGAAAAAAAAAGAAGCAAAGGGAAGCTTTCACTTTGATTTGATGCACACAAGCTGCCTAACATTTCCTTAAACAGGTATATAATCCTGACAACATAAACAGACAGCTTTTATTTTGTTTACTATCTTGGCACTATGCTATTAAATGCAGAAGATAAAAGTTAATGCCAGATGGCAGATAATGCTTACATTAGGTTAAAGGCGTGAATGCAATTCATAAGTGGAATTTACTTGCGCTTCAGTAAGTCGAACAAACAATTTTATTTTAAGGAGATTCACATATCAAAATTTTGAAAGTGTAACAGTGAAAATCAGCTGTAGATAGTAAATGACATTATTTGGTCTCGGAGAAATGTTTTCCTTGTAAGTGTCTCACTGTTACACAGCCTGTCTGGTGTGCTACATAAAAAAAAAAATGCCTGACACAAAAAACACTTTTATAAACCATGAACTCAAGCCAATGTCAACCTGAATTGCAAACTAATCTAAGCGATGCCTCATGAACAGGACAGAGACGAACAGGCTGAGTGGTTTAGAGACATTTGCATTCTTTTTACCCGCAGTAAAGTCAGGATTGTCAAAAAATGGCCATAAATTGTGGAAAATGTGTAATTTAGATACCTTGCATGTCAGACACAAGATTTCGTAAAAATTCATAGATTTCTAACATTACCAGCTACAAACTGAAATGCTAATGAAGCTTACTTTATCAGACTAAAATCCAGTGGTATTACTGATAAAAACAAAAGGATTTAGCTGTAGTTTTTAAGCCTTAACAAGTAATAAGGAATCAAAAGATTAAGAAAAATTACATTACATTCATATTAATTTCCAAAACAATCAAGAAGCTAGACAACTAACTAACCTTAGCTGATTATTACATGGAATAAACAACAAGAATTAGCACTAAATTTTACGTATTTCTTGCTGGATTCTACAGTATCGTAAATTAAGTTTAAAAAGATGCTACTGAATTACTTACTTTTTTTCTCTGAGCCTGACATAAACATCACTGCCATATCAAATCTTTTTAATTCAGATAACCTCTGGAGGATTTCAAGGATGAGCGATGGCTCCTCTTTCCTGAAGAAGATTATTAGAAATATAAAAATAACTACAGTTGATTAGAAAGATTCAGTAGCTGCAAGCAATATTAAAGACTTCAGGATCATGAAGTTAAAAAGTACCAATGGAACTCCCTTCTCTGTCTCTCTTATTCTCTGCCTTTCCCATCTTTCCTGTTCATTCTTCCACCCACAAAGCAAAAAGTCAACATCCAGAAACCATTATGCAAGTATCCTTCTGATATGGAGTGTGAGTGAAGAAATGCAACAGCCTAGACTAATGCAAACTGACTGTTGTTCATGTACAGAATAACTATTTTATGATTTAATGCTTACACCTTGCCATAACTTCACCATTTTTATACATATCATGGTGTGTGAGGGGAAGTAGCACTTGTGGTCATAGGAAGCTCAGCAAAATGCACCACATTACAGTTGCCATCATTGTTATCCATACAGAAAATTCTTACTGTGTTTATTTTACATTCCTCTGCTCAACAGTAAACAGGCACTGTCCTTGTTACAAATACTAACAACAAATAGTATTTTTCTTTCAGAACTTTTCCTGTCTTCCTCCAGAAATGCCTTTTACCTTACTGCAGACAATTTCAACTTTTAGCTTTTATGTATCATACCACCAAATGTAGGACCATATCTCTTAAGATGTTGTTTCACCTACATGATGGATATTTACTTTTAAAGAAACCAAAGGAAAGGCTAACGTTCATTTACATTTCCTTTTCTCCATAAAACACCATCCCAAAACCATTCTGATTATGCGCTCTCAGGCAGAGTAATTCAGAGCAGCAGCACACTGCCTCTGACAGGCAAAATGAACTTTAAGACTCAAATGGTAGCATGGATAGAAATTTCAAAAATAATTGTCAGGTCCTGTCTTATCAGAACTTCTAGCTCCAATACACATTTACTGCAGGCTACTGGAAAATGCTAGCAGGTAATTAAAAATAAAGAGTTGGAATGCATCACAATAATCACCGCACAAAAATGAAACCTTCTTTCTCAGCTTTAGAAAGTTAATATAGAAAGCTAGTATTGTCCAATTATGTGATAACAGAATATACACAGTAATATGAACAAAAATTATTTCATACAATCTAATGTTCAGTTTCCAATGCTATTTGGCAGAACTGAATTCAACAATATACAGTAAAGGCTATTTATTTCTTTACCTCTTTTCTATCTGATTTTTCAAGATATATTTAATGTCTTAAGAAGCAACCAAATCATTCAAATTATTGCATTATGCTCATGTAATGCTGGAAATAATTTTGTAAGCCCAAGGGTGGGACTAGGGAGAAAAAAAAAAAATAAAAAAACCACAACCAAAAAACAGAATAGCAATGAGCACTGTAAAACAAAGGAGGAGATAAACTTACTCAATGTAGAAATCATGTAGAATTTTCAGTATCTGGTTAAACAAGTCTGGATCTAAGGATTTCTGGAACAGTTTTGGATAAAGTGAAGGCTCTATTTGCTATGGAAAAATTTAAAAAAATGTTATCTTCAGGCAAAAAAATACGATTGAGTCATGAGAATTAGAAATGAGTTTTAGGATGTCTTAGACAATGCTGAAATGTGTGAAAGGAAAAAAAAAAGAAAAAAGAAAAACAAATCACTTGCACTATTTGATTTGAACATTAATTTTGTGGTTTTTTGCGACAATAATACCTAATTTTTTTTAAAAGGATTCTAAGCAATTTTTTTGTGAAATATATATAAGCAGAAGTACACATTAAGTAGACTGATACGTTTCAAACATTTCTTCAGTTTAAAGAGATAGATATGCTGCTTTATCTAATTACCTTAGAAGTATTCATTTGGAAAATTAGAATTTAACACAGTTACTAATGTATTTAAGTGTTTGCAGAATCAGGGCTTCTGTTTGAAAGAAGAGACATTTATGCAGAGACTGCACTGAAAGCAAGGCAAGTGAAAAGTCAGCCACAAGAGGAGAAATACTGAAAATGCAGATCAAACCACTTCGTGTTATGTGAAGGCAATTAAAGAAAGGGACTACTGCACATGGTTAACACACTGTAAACACAGCTACCCTTTCCACCTAAGTTTGTGCTGTTTCTTCTGTATCAGTTGAAGAAACTGTCCAAGCACTGTCCATCAATACTATGTTTCATACCTTCAGGTACAAGTACATATCTTCAGGGCAGTCTTTCAACTTCCTGAAGTCAGACTCAAGCTGGAAAGAATTTGCAGGAATAGTGGGTACTGAAGAAGCAGATCTAAATGACCTTTTGATTTCTTTTTCTCTCTGTTTGTTCACAGGGAAAGATGGATGTGACGTTGATGAAATTACTTTCGCACTAGCAGGAAGCCTGCAGAGAGATTTTGAAAGACATAATTGAGACAACATTTATGGAAATCCTACATGGAGACTTAACTGGCAATCTTTTAATTCCTTAAAAATCTAAAATACTATCACAATTTTTAAAAATAATGTATTTTTGTTCAAGCAGGTATCTAAAAAAACCCCTTCAAATTATGGAAGCTTTATACACGATGCACCTTTTCTAAAAAAACACATCTGCAAATACTTACAAATATATTCAGCCTTTCTCTACTTTGTTTCTGGGAATAACTGCATTTTATGGTACAGATTTCCACCGTACACAGCTACAAAAAAAATATTACATTTTCCACAATTTCACTATGCAAAACAATAACCATGTCAAATGAACAAACTGTTTTCAGCACTGATTACAGTAGAGCTATTTTTTGTCCTGTGATTTGTCAGTTAAGACCACTTATTTTTCAGAAGTTATAAAATAGCTAAGAAATACACTTTTTTCTTCAACACTTCACAGTAAATCCATTTGACTGAGCTCAAAAAGGTGACTGCAGGACAGTGTTCCTCACAGAAATTCTTCAATCAGAATTCCATAAAAAGATTCTATTAACACAATGAGATGATGCCAATGCATACGAAGCTTTCCTAAGCAGACAACGACTTCCAACACTCAGCAGGGATAGCGGCTTCTATCCTTCAGCGTATTTTCAGCCAGACAGACTTGAGCTTACCTAGCTAACACAGTGGAACTTGGGAACTTTGAGCAAGCCTGAAGTTACTGGTTGCCAGCTCAGCAACAAGAGGTGACACTCTCATCTGCTCTTTTTCTCTCCACAACTAGTGTTCAAAGAATGTTTGGATTCTGCTCAGAATCTACTCTAAAACATTACAAATACAAGTCACAGCTAGGGAAGATTAAGTACACAAGGAAGAGAGTATGGCACATAGGAAAATATGAATTTCTTTATATTTGAAATGTAAGAACAAGACTAGTTTTCCATCTGACACTAAAGAGATCAAAGTTGTCTAAACCACTACGTGATCAAACAGGCAGACATGTAAGAACTGCAGTTTCTTTCAGTATTTTCTTTTTAATTCAAGTTCTCCAAAATACGTTCAATACTTCATCACACACAGAAATCTGAAAATGAAGATTACATTTCTACTACATTTACCTTTTTAGAAGTGGATCATAATTTTTATACTTACTGTAATGGTGAGGTATCACTGATTTCTTCTATTTTCAAGTGCTTTGCTTTTGGAATGTCCATTGTAGTCAACTGATCATCCTGATCTAGACTCTCTGTTGTTTCAATACTCATTGAATTCTTCCAGTTATTGACTAAAGAAGAAGTGCTGGGCAAATCACTATTTGGTGTGTCATCATCAACTTCTTCAATGGCTATTCTTCGCAAAGGCTTCTAAACAGAACATATACCTCGCGTCATGTCTGTAGCTTCAATATCATTGTATATATAGAGGTCCCAGATAAACAGCTGTGTTTAATTTTAAATAATCTCATGACAATCAGTTTCATCTGTGGTGGTGCACACGGAAGATACTTTCAATAAAGATAAATGGCAAAAAAGGAAACTTGATGACATTCTATGGGAAGCCTCATAAGATCATTTTATTGCTTTACAATCATAAACCAGTGTATCCTTACTCTAGAGGACCTCAGAATCTGCATTCTGTTTTTCCAGTAATTAAAAAAAAAAAAAAAAAAAGTTTTTTTTTGCCCCCCTACTAATGTGGGATGGACAAGGACTACCACTACCACATATTTTGACTAATGACCTGGTCAAACTTTGTCATTTAGCTAAACAAGTTAAGTACCCAGCAACATAGGCCTTGACCCTCAAATTACAAATATCTATCATCTCAAAATTTTAACTCAGCCCTGCTGGCTGATGCAATTACATACATCATAAGGTAATTAATTCACCCACTAGGGGACATACTAACTAAAATGCTTCAGCTCGTTTTTAATCTCTGCATGATGACCATTATTTTTGACTATCAACTAGCACCACTGTCACAGGTCTTACAAGGAAGCACCATTTAGTGGGGGAAAAAAAATAAAGAAAAAAATTAATCATCTTTTACTTTGGAATTTCATTTTCTGAACATGAATACAGTGTATATTGCTCTAGAAATAGAGATGCAAATACACATGATTAAACATAGTCAACAATTCAGAATTCTAGAAGTGGCAGATTTCTCTCTGTCCAGCTGTAACGCAATCCCCTAAGTCTTCACAGCAGTTTGCAAACTGCTTTAAATCATGCCCCCAAACCCCTGTTGTCTTGGTGCATTAACAGACAACACACAGTTTACTTTGACAATATACCATCTCAGCATTGTGCTAAGACTGGGAGGCTGCCTGACGGATATGAAACAAAATTACAGTTCTTTCTGCAATCCTTAGACCATACTAAAAGCACAAATGCTTAAATCTATACTTATTCTACAGAATAACAAGGAAAAACCAATCAACCTAGTATTTCCACTTAATTTAGCAGGCCAACTGAAAACTGGATATAATTGTCTATAGTATTTCAGCTACTTCACGACAAACTCATTTATGTTTCTAAAAACATTGTATCTGGTTACAGACAGCAGATAATACTTCCACCCCCGCCCCCTCCCCCGAAAAGAAGACTCAAAGTAATCACACATTTTCTACTAAGACTATCCAGCTGAATTATGTATTTAATGGAGGTAAACATTTTAAAATCATCAAGAGCAGAACACTACAGTACTCCATAAAAAGTGTGAGCATGCTTTGTATTTATACACAACTTACTGTTGAATATATAAAGATTAAATGTACCAAAAGAGGAAGCCTAATACATAAAGAAATCTGATATGACAAAATATGATAATACAGAGAGTAATATGTAACTCATTAATCTATCTATAACCACTAACAATTCACAGTCCCAAACTATTGCTTCTTGAAACCAATACCCAGCTTTCTACAGTTTATGTGGATAAAAATGCAGGCTCAAGACTCTTGCAGTACCCCTAGGTGACCGCAGCATATGACACGGGTAGGCGACGTGTCTTGTTGCCACTACAGCTGCTATAGAAACTGTAAACAGCAGATGAAAAGGGAAGTTTACCAAGAGTTTTCTCAAGTCTGCAATCAAACACAGACACTCAACTGCCTCCCCTTTACTCTCAAATGCAATGTTAGCTATAGACCCAGGAGAGAGTTGTGGGATTGCCTCCTCACGTTTAATATTACAGATATACACATACACCAAGTTTCTGGTGTCTGGTACTGTAGGTTGAATGCTTCCACCACGGCTACTGTTACATTCACATGGAAATGCTGGAGTTACGTTCTTGCAAAAGAGTAAATCTGTAGATTTTGGGTTTCCCACAGGCAAGAGTGAAGTCTACATAAATAAGCAAGAAGTGGATTTTAACTTTAAGCTCTACTTTTCCCATCATTATAGAAAGCAACTCACAAAAAACAACTTACTGTTGATTTCAGGTGTAATGGATTATCAATCACTTTCACTATATTTTTGATTTCTGTTTCTTTTATCAATACTGCAGGATACTCCTGATGAGTCCACTGTTCCTTCTCAGCTAATTCCTGAAAAAAAAAAAAAAAAAAAAAAAAAAAAAAAAAAGGTAAGTTATCCAAAATCAAAAGTTTGAGGAATAATTATAGGATATGTTAAAAATTACATAATAAAGAATGAAAACATTCTATTACTATAGGCTTACAAAAAAAAAAAAAATCGTAAGCATACATACATTCCTTATTTTAGTGAGTTCATTTATTGCTTGTTTATTTCCAGGTTCCAACTTCAGAACAGCTTCAAAATCTGGGTGAAAAAACAACATACAGGAACTGTAGACATTTCAAGTTACAAAGTACTCCTGGCAAATTTTTAAACCTTCAACCTTCCTTTCACAGCTCTAAAATAATTAAAGGCAGGTAATGCTTATGTCGTGACCTAGTTTTAAACACATTTCTCAAACTATTTGTTACTACTTATCATAAGCCATACTTGTAATTTCACACAAAACTGTCTTTTGATCGTGGAGATACCCACACAAAAGGTTTTACGGACATTCAGTGAAACACAACAAAACCCCATCCTTCTTAACTTTTGCACTTACAACCTCAATTAGTCAGCAATTGATTTAGTTGCTATTAGATGATTAAACAAATCAGGTAGGAGATAAGTACGAGGACATTCTATCACATTTGGGTTAATTCAAAGCTGTACCTTCCATAGCTTCTTTTAGCTTTCCAAGAGCAACTCTGGCAGCTCCTCTTCTGGCAAAGGCTTTAGAATAGGAGGCATCCAAGAGCAGAGCTTGTGTACAGTCATTTTCTGCCTCTTCATATCTCAGCAAAAGAGCAGTACAAAATTAATAATCAGCTTCAAAAGAGGCAGTTTCCATGTAAATGACAGAGCTATCCAAAACAATTCAAATATGAAGACCATAATTATCTATATACATATAAATACCACCAAGCTAAAATGTAAAACAAAATTAAACATATGAAATATGATTTATCAGCACCTTGAAATTTCAGCCAAATCTTTTGGTGTCTCATGACACACTGCTAATTTTCTATTTATCATCACAGAGAAATTCACTTGCTTTGTGAAAATAAAAGCTTACAACCTATCAGACCACAATCCATTTTAAACATTAAATAGCCTTAAAATGGAAGTCAGCATCATAACTTCTGAAAAACAGAAATACCATTACAAATAAACAAAAAAAAATACAAGAAAGGAGAAGCAAGCATATACCAGAATGAATTTCTCTATACCTGAATTTCTGTGACTTGCGCTTAACAATTTCAGAATGAGAAGTCAGTATACCCTTGCATTAAAGTAATTTGTTTCATTGTAAGATCAAATTTCCTCACCCTAGTTGTATTTAGTTACATTAGCTCATGATTCCATTACGTGCACATTAGAATCATAGAATCATTTAGATTGGAAAAAGACCTTTCAGATCATCAAGTCCAACCGTTAACATAACACCGCCAAGTCCACCACTCAATCATGTCCCTAAGCACCTTGTCTACCCGTCTTTTAAATACCTCCAGGGATGGGGACTCAACCACTTCCCTGGGCAGCCCGTTCCAATACTTGACAATCCTTGTGGTGAAGAAATTTTTTCTAATATCCAATCTAAACCTGCCCTGGCACAACGTGAGGCCATTTCCTCTTGTCCTATTGTTACTTGTGAGAAGAGACTGACACCAACCTCATTACAACCTCCTTTGTAGGCAGTTGTAGAGAGCAATATGGTCTCCCCTGAGCCTTCTTTTCTCCAGGCTAAACAACCCCAGTTCCCTCAGCTGCTCCTCATAAGACTTGCACTCCAGACCCCTCACCAGGTTCGTTGCTCTGCTCTGGACATGCTCCAGCACCTCAATGTCTTTCTTGCAGTGAGGGGCCCATAACTGAACACAGTATTCGAGGTGTGGCCTCACCAGTGCCAAGCACTGGGGGACAATCACTTCCCTACTCCTACTGGCCACACTATTTCTGGTCCAAGCCAGGATGGTATTGGCCTTCTTGGCCACCTGGGGACACTGCTGGCTCATATTCAGCTGGCTGTCTGCCAACACCCCCAGGTCTTTTTCCACCAGGCAGCTTTCCAGCCACTCTTCCCCAAGCCACTTGTGACCCAAGCGCAGGACCCAGCACTTGGCCTTGTTGAACCTCATACAATTGGCCTTGGCCCATCAATCCAGCATGTTCAGATCCCTCTGTAGAGCCTTCAAGCAGATCAACGCTCATGCCCAACTTGGTGTTGTCTGCAAACTTACTGAGGGTGCACTCGATCCCCTCGTCCAGATCCTTGATAAAGATATTAAACAGAACTGGCCCCAGTACGGAGCCCTGGGGAACACCACTTGTTACTGGCCACCAACTGGATTTAACTCCATTCACCACAACTCTTTGGGCCCAGCCATCCAGCCAGTTTTTTTACCCAGCGAAGCATATGCCCATCCAGGCCATAAGCCACCAGCTTCTCCAGCAGAATGCTATGGGAAACAGTATTAAAGGCTTTACTAAAGTCTAAGTAGACAACATCCACAGCCTTTCCCTCATCCACTAAGCAGGTCACCTTGTCACAGGAGATCAGGTTAGTCAAACAGGTTGTCCTGTACGTGCCGTGTGATGGCACTCAAGATGATCTGCTCCATAACCTTCCCTGGCACTGAGGTCAGACTGACAGACCTGTAGTTCCCCGGATTATTACAGTATTTCATTCATTTTTCTTCTCCGCCTTCAATCTATCATTAAATTTACGAAAACAGTTGTTTTAGTGTTTTGCAGGTCTTATCAGTTCTACAGCTTTATAAGAATAGCAATGAGCTTTTGTTGCATTTTACGTTTGGGTTCTCTTTGAAATGTAAAGACCCACGATACACTGATTTATCATACAGAATCAATTTTCTTGCTTGGTCATTCAATTAAAGTATCACTTCCTCTGATTCTCCGAGAACATTATTTGCATTATAATGTCCTCTATGGCTTCAGTACTAAATTACAAATGTTGTGTTAGAAACACTACACCTGTGCAACTTATTTTACAATCTCATAATTTGAAATTAATGTATTGTCTCTACAGATACCCATACACATCACGTCAGAGCAGATGACTCTGCTTCTCATGTTGCTAGTTTCAAAGGTTTAAATTACCATACCATCAGGGAGTCAAAAAAAATTCAGACTTCAAAAATGGTCATATGGAATTTCTCTCATTTGCTAGAAAGCATGTATTTCCTACTGTTACTGGATTATTTTAATAAAGCTTAACTAAAAATAAACTAATTGCACATACATGTCTCTTAGCAGGGTTAAAGAAAAATATTTGAAAAGATGACAATATCCAGAAAAAGCTCCTATCCATTCCCTTTGAAGTCAGAAATTGATAATCCACTTCTTTTTACAGTGCAATATTTAGTAGGTGACTGAGTTTTATAGTGAAAAAAAGACAAAGCTACGAGCAGGTCCTTTGAGAAAGGTGAATATCTAGAATTTTACACACACGAAAGAATGAAAATCAAACTTTAGAAACTACAATTCCATCTATTTTATTCTCCCAGAACTTCTTTCCTATGAAATGCATTTTAAGATCACACATACTGTGTTGTTTTCTCTCCCCTACTGTTTCCAATACGATTTATTCAATGCTGAATTCTAGAAAGAATTAGGAGTGACAGTAATTGAGCTGAGAAAATCTGCTGGATCATCCTTCTGTCTAATTCACAACAAAGAAACAGTATAGCACATGCAATCCTACTTACTTTTCAATCTTTAGATAGGCCATGGCTCTGTTAGCTGGCAGAAGTGCATTGGTGCCATCTGCTGCTATACCACGGGTGTAACATTCTATTGCAGCCTCATATTTTCCTTCTTTGAAATACCCATTACCCTGTAATATTTAGGTCAGAAAAAAATAGCGTTGAGAAAGTTCTAGTGCAGTAAGTTTTTCTCATCCTTTTAGTAGGGAGGGTCACAATATCAGGAAGATGGATCACAAAGAACACCCACATCAGAGCAAACACACACAGGCACATTACTTCATATCTAAGCTTGGAGGCAGACTACAAAAAAAATAATCTTTTTTTCTAGTACTTCAAGGATAAAAAAAAAATTGCTACATGCACAGTCTAAGTGCAGACTTACCGTCTGTGACTTGTGATTTTTCTTTATTCTTGATGTGCAGGATAAGCTACCCTGCACCTCTTGAATTTAAACACAAGCTGAACCTTCACAATTCCCCCTTCAAGGAGATGTTCTGTGCTGCATAAATCCTTCTTTATCCTGCTATATCCATGAAACTGTTATCCTTAAATATTACTTGGGCCAAAATGTTGCTGCTGTTTTTCTACTTAGTGTTCCATAAAACAAAAATTACATTACTTTTTTTGTTTGTTTCCAAGAGACTAAAATTATCTTTTGCTTCTCAGTACTAAACATAAAGCCACGTGTTACCTTCTTTGCTTCTACCCTACTCACTGGCAAAAAAGCAAAGGACACTGTGCAGACTTGACAGGATCCACGTTGCCAGAAACAGGCCCACAACTCTGCTGCTAATGAAGTATTTCAGTAGACTGAAATTTCTTTTCTGTGGCCTCTTCCAACTTTTGTTCCTATTACCTAATGTATGCTTTCATTCTTTTCCTACCAATTACCTCCCACAACCAGTATAGGAAACCTGAATATTGGTAAGAGTCAGAAGTTAAATAGCTAGGTAAGAGAATGGAAAAAAAATGCTTTAGTTGGTAATGTTATTTCTTAACTGCAGCAGCGGGGAGAGGGAGAAATCAATAAGCCAACTGTGAGTCAAGAGCATGTATCCAGAAATACATTTTTATTGCTATTGCTGCCTGCACTCCCTGAGGTCCTTTTTAGAACTACTTTCCACCATGTAATCAGAGGTTTGGAAACACAAGAAATAGTCCACAACTCCACTTGGACAAGCAGGGGTCAAGATGCATATACTACTGGAGAAATGGGATCTTTGTAAAATACAGTTCGAGTTTTACTTGTCTACATATTTGAGATTTATCATGTATAATTTGGGCTGTAAAAGCTACCTTGTATAATTATTCCTCCAGAGGAGTCCAAACAGAACTCACTGTCTCCCTCCCGAGAGAGCCCAAAATGGGAAACAATCAAGGTTATATCAAGGACATTGTATTTATGAAGTTCAAGACAGTATTAGATTTCATTTACATATCTGCATAGCTAATAGCTCTTCTTTACTAGTTCTCTCCTGTTCCACAAGAACCTGTGACTTACCAGATCTTTTTCTGTAATAGCCTTCTGCTTGAGCTGCTGGTCTTCAATGCACTTCTTCTCTTCGTCTGTTAATTTTGGTCCGACTGCGTTTTCAAACTCCTCCTGTTCTGAATTTTCTTTTGACGACAGAGCCTGCAAGATATAATTTTTTTTCCTCAATAAGTATTTCCCCCACCTACATATTTTCCTAACAAAAATTACAATAAATTCTAAACTTCTAAGATGCAAAAATCTGCCAAGCATTTTAACAGAAGTGCCTGTGTTGTTAAGCTGAATGCAAACTCTACGCTGTTCTTGAAAATGTATTTCTACGAGGGACTGCAAGTCAGAATATTACTTGGTAAATAAAAGGTATGTAATTTCTGAAGCACAATGTGAAGTGATCAGTGGAACCTGTCTACATGTATTCCAATTCACAAATAATTTATTTCTTCAATTACTGGAGACCTTGGGTATTCATTCTGAAAATAAGTTTTCCAAGCACTTTCCAAACTACAGCTGAGGAGGTATAAGCATATTCACACAGTAATGACAGGTGAGCTTATATTTACTAAGGTCATCATAATCGACATTCTCTCCCTGTCATGAAAGGGATCAGACTCACAGTAATTATTTTCTGTGAGGCTTAAACCTACTTTCTGGTTTGGCAGACCACAGCAATCAGTAAGACTACAAGCAGGCTAGCAGTTCAGCTTTACAGCCAAAGTTCTCTCATATGTAGTGCTATGTTGTACCAAAATACTAAGCATGACTGAAACAAAACATTAACACAGGAGGTAGAAAAACATCTGAGGCAAGATTTAAAAAAAAAAAAAAAAAAACAAAACCCAACAAAAACCAAAAGCCTCCAAAAGAACCGTGTTGGTGCACATATCCAGTCTTAGTCTGCCAATCCACTATTACACTGATGTTTGCATACATGCTAGTTAATCCAGAAGAAACTCAATCACAGATTTTGACCTCAGTGAGCTTCAAATGCCAGAAAAAGCACATGAGATTTTGTTGAATTTAGTTGTTGTTATAAATGCAAGTTGATACAGATATAAACTGAACAGGGTGTATTAATTTGCGTTAGGGCCTATTAATCTTATTACCTGATCAATCTTCTTCAGTTCATTTTTTGCTTCAAAGTTGTTTGCATCCAGCTCTAAAACTTTTTCATAATCTGTCAGAAGATCAGAAAACAATGTTTCAGATAGGAACTACAGGCCAGTAACCAGAGTATAAAATAAGAGCATTCTATTGAGATAACCCTCATTTGTAGTTACCCAAGAAGCCTGAGATATTGCAAGAAACACATCATTCTAAGACATAGAATAATTCGGCTTTAAATAACTACTAATACCTACAGCAATCATTTGGACTTGCTGCTTGAATTTTACCTTGCCAGAATAACATGCAATATTCTTGTCTTTGTTTACAGGCAATGAAAATTAAATTCCTACACCAAATAAGTAAATCACACAAGCTTTAATCAAGCAGTTAAAATATACACAAACTGTTAGCCTACGGAAAGAATTTTAAAAAGACCCACCTTCTTTAGCACCTTGAAGATTTTTCAAAGCAAAGCGACAAGCCCCTCTCCTGGCATAAGCCTTTGTGTAATTTTTATCCAAAGCAAGTGCTAAATTGCAGTCAGATTCTGCAACAGAAAATCTATAAGAAATATGAATTAGTTTGGACATATCTAGGTAACAAAATCTAAAACTTCAGTGATTTAGCTTACTCCGATGCTTTACAGGTTCTCTCTAAAGTGGAAATCTCACATGCTTCATAAGGGGCATAGAACAAGTATTTAAACATCTTTCAATTCAGGATACATCAAAACGGGAAAGCAAAACCAAGGTCAACAATCTCTACTGCAACTGAAAGAATAACCAACTCCCCTGAACCCTTTCTTCCTGCAAAACAAATTAAAGCCTTAGAAATAGAGCTCATTGATCGGAAAGGCAAATTAGATCATGAACTTTCTCTTTTTTCTTTTTTTGAAGTCTTATACTGTAACACAGAAGATGGTGAACTTTTAGCATGAAAGCAGAGGAAAAAAAGGTAAGAAAGATACCAGATTCCTTATCCTGGCAATTCGTATTTTACTTTGAAACTGCAAAGCAGGTTGCAACAGCAGTCTTACATAGACTGTATCACAGCATGATAAAATAATATAATCAGGACTTAAAACCAGACAAAAAATCTGAAGGTAGCATTTCAAAGAAGAAAAGGTTACAGACTTAATAATACAAGTCTTACTTTTTCATTCTATAAAAAGCTGATGCTCTGTTTGTGGGCAATACGGGATTGTATGGATCAGAATGCATCCCTCTAGTGTAGCATTTTATAGCTTCATCGAAGTTCCCTTGTTTAAAGTAGTTATTGCCCTGTGAAAAGAAAAAAAGTCTTTTTAGCAAATTACTGTGCATTGCACACATTATTATTTTTTGGTGAAAAAAAAATCAAAGTTTGTATTTTAGAATGCTCAAACATTTTTGTTTAACATTTCTCACAAAGTACTACTTTACTGTAAAACATCTCTTTTAACTAAAATATTTTACATATCCCATACAAAATATTTCTCATGATTTATGCAATAGCATGGTTTTATTACATACTGATTTTCAGTATCTGTAGGTCATTTCCAGAAACCTGTAACAAGCACATACGTAGCTGCTTAAGTTGCCTTAGGGAATCTCACATAGTAACGAAGCATGAGATAGGTCTTGCTGTATTCTACTTGCAACATAAGGTAAAACTGAACTGGTACCAACTTGCCATTACCAAGGCAAGGAAGACATTATGAGTTCATCCATCATTCCCAGATGTACTGGCCTCATTAAAGGGACTAATCTTAAATTCTTAGGGATTTAGTTTGGGGCATTCAGACCTTGTGTAGAGGTAAACACCAGTTTGATCCATATGGCAATTCTATACAGCAATCCAACTCCTCAAAGCAGAAAACCACAAATACGTTAATCATCGTAAGTGTACATTAAGCAGAGTCTGACAGGCTTTGCTACAATCAGTGACGAGAAGAACCAGAAATGCAGTGAGAATTTTCTATTTTGGAATAACAGGAAGGAAAACAGACATAAAAAAATCCAAATGGGCAATTCTTCCACCAGAAGTGAGGTCCCCGTGGACAATCTTTTTAAAAGAAACTACAAATGCTCCTAGGTCTAAATTGCTGCTTTGCAAATAACAAACATTTATAATGCTATAACCTTTTCCTTCTCTGCAAGAGCCTTTTCTGCATCTATACGAATTCCATCTTCTTCAGAGTCTGATTCTGGAGATACAGAATCATGAGTACTATCTTCTTTATCAAGTTCTTCAAGTATTTTATCCTGAAATCAAAAAATAAACTATTACCTTGATTATAATTTAGCAATGCAAAGTAAAACAAGTAAGACTTTAGGAGAATTAGTAGTGTGGTTTTTAAAATCTCTACTGCTTAAGTCCTCTTGACTAAAGAGTATTCCACACTTCAAAAGTGAGATCTATCCTCTAATACTGCCAGCTGTGTTTAGTCTTACATTCTACTAGAATTATGACCTTATATTAGACCTGTTGTTGCACCAGTATTTTCCTTAAAGTCAAATTCTATCTGCTGGATGAGAGCACAGTCAACAGAAAGTATTTATCAATATTCCAAATTTTAAACACACAACTTTTTTGGGAGAAAGCTGCTTTCTGTGTTCATACAGTACCCAGCACAGTAAGATACTGACTTGCGGACTGAACTCTCAGCACTGTAACAAAATCTTATTTAAACAGAATCAACTGGGGACAAGACTCATTTAATAAGCAAATATTCTGACTCACCACATCAAGTTTTCCCCATGCTTCATAATCATAAGACTTGATCTTGTTTTTCTTGTTTTCCTCAGTGGTTATCTTTGAAGGGACTTTACTTTTGCTTTTCTTCTTTTTCTTAAAAGCCTTGTTTCGAATTGGTGGCAAATTCTAAATTTAAGTAAGAAATTCATTATAAAACAGATGTGTGAAAGTCACTTGCATTGAAGAATCTACGGTAACTATATCTAGATATAGTATCTACCTACTGGTTAGTTTTATTTCAGAAATGCACCCAGCAAGCTGTTCTCAGGAACTCTACAAAACCACTAGGGACAGCAAGTATAGATCCTCCAATACATAATAATAGCAAATATTACTTGTATGACACAAAGTTAAGTTTTAGAAGACAACTCTTTGCAGAGTATCACTGAAGAATAACTTCAATACATTAAAGTCAGCAATAAATAAGTAATACTGCAGACAGAAACATTCTCCTACATCTACCTACAACTAATTAAAAATTTACTGGCCCCATCGCCTCCAGATGCTATTGCCCCACAGCTCTGTTGGTAGAACAGTTTACAGAGTAATCTTTGGTCTGCTTCAGATAAGGAACAAGGCAGATGGGTGAGCTCGTACCTTCTATTCAGGTATTTTAAGCCGACACATATAATTTTGCTGAAGTAAAAAGCAATTATTATAAACACTATCACATTAGAATAGCTGAGTTAATATTAACACTGGAATTGTGATTTTTACCTCTTCTGGGACACCACTCTGTTTTCTTAGTTCAGAATCCACTTCTTTAATATCTTTTTCCCAGCTCTCCAATTCTCTCATAAAATCCTGCAGCTCTTCAGCATTTTGCTTCATTTGCAGCTGTAGTTCTAGCGCTTTATTTGGTGCACTCATCGTAATCTGCCAATTTCAAGGAAAAAACTTTCTAAAGAGAGCTTGAAAGTATGTACTGAAGGAAGCTAGCTGCTTCAGAATGAACAAGTCTGACTTACACGTGAGACAGGCTTCCCAATATCATAGTAGGAACATTAAATACTAGTAGACTAAGAAGAAATACAATTTAAATGTCTTTGAAATAATCTAAGAAATAGTACACACAAAATTTTTAAGGGAGAAAAAGGGCTGTATTTTTTATTTACTCTTAACATCCAGTAAGACATTAACCCAATAGCATAGAAACATAAAAACGTATGGGCCAAACAAAGCTAATGACTTCTGCAATACAACATGCTGTCCATAATTACGGACAAGATTCCCATAAAAGATGGAAAAACACACTGCATGATTACTAGTGAACTAATGCTACCAAAGCAGGTATTTTTTTTCATTCTCAGGAGTAAGCAGCTGTGTAGATGCTCTGATGCACCAGCTGTGCTTCCCCCTAGTTACCTCCTATGCATAAGTAGTAAGATGCTTACCCTTAGCAATATATTTTTCCTAAAGTCTTCTAAATATTTGGTCTATTTGAAACTAATTGGAAAGAAACTTTAGGTGAACCCAAAAAATGAATATTTTTCATCATATTTCCAATTCAGATTTTTTTTTTAATATTTTTTCCACCTACAACTGTTGCCCCATACTGAAATATCTCTGCAATATTCAGCCAGTTAATTTAATGAAACCTGGGCATGGCCACACCAAATATTCCATACAGCCTAGCCATACCATACCTAGCCTATTCCACACCTGGCCAACGGCAGCTAGAACAAGATGCTTCAAAAGATGCAAGAAACTAGGTTGTGATCTGTTGAACTTCTCATCTTGTTATCACTGACCAAAATAACGTTCTTATACAAGGGAAAAAAATCTAATATTAAACCTAGCTGTTAATTTTCTGGCATTCTAACGCACCTTACACAAGCGTGTAACGTAAGCCTGCTCCTGTTACCCGCTTAGCCTAACGCTGCTTGCTTCACCGACCTTAATCCACGCGTTGACAGCAGGCTCCCGCGCAGCACAGCTCTCACACCCTTCGAGGCAGTTTTATTTGAGCCCCAACGCCAGGGCCTGCCTTTGTGTTACCCAGCACCCCAGGGCTGCCTCATCCCAGCGACTCCGCG